GTATATAATATATATATTTGAATCTGCTTTTTAAATAATTTTAATTATTTGTTTGATTTTATTTAATTTTATTATTTTCTTTTGTATGTATTAATTATATTATTTTAAGTGTGGATATGTGTATGTGGCGTTGGTGGTTATTGTTTTTGAAAATCCAAAGATGATTTTGAAAAAAAAATAAAATAATAGTGGGGTGAGAAAGAAAAAAAAAAAAAAAAAAAAAATTTTAAAATAAATAAATTTAAAATAAATAAATTTCAAAAATTTTAAATTTCTGTGTTGTTTGTGATATTTTATGGTTTATGTTGTTTGATTATTATTTTTATTATTATTATTTATTATTACTTTATTTTAAAAGAAATTGTTTTAAAAGAAACAACTTGTTATTGATAAATTGCTATGGGCTAAATAATGATATACAAAATAGATATAAACCCTTCTTGTTTCAAAATTTAAATATTTTGATTTAATATAATGTAAATACATAAACACACATATGGCTTTCTTTATATTATTTTATATTATTTTATTTTATTTAATATAAAACAAATATTATTAATAAAATTTTATTTTATTAATTTAAAATAAAAAATTAATAAAATAAAATGTGTATTTATTTATTATAATATATTATTTTTAAAAAAAAATTTTGCATTTGTGTGCTTTTTTTTTTTTTTTTTTTTTTTTTTAAAATTTTTTTTTTTAAAAAATTTTAAAAAAATTTAAATAAAATAATTACTTTTCATTAGATTTTTTTTTTTTCATTGTATACAATTGCCCAACTTTAACCGATTTTTTTTTTTTGCTTGGGTTAAATAAATGGTTTATCACAACACAATTTTTTTTTTTAAATATATTCACACCAATAATTAATTTTACAAATATCTTGAATTCAAAAAAAAAAAAAAATAAAAAAAATAAAAATAAAATTTAAATAAATTTGTAAACTGTATGTTATCTATTTTAAAATTTGTAATACAAATAGTTCTTTAAATATTTATAGATTTTATTATTTTTTTTAGGCAATATAAATGTTTAAAAAATAAATATTAAACCAAATTTAGGTCAATTAAACTTTTAGCGGTGGAAATAAGAGCATTATCCGTGGAAATTGGGGTCCAACCTAATAATGATTTAGCTTTATCATTTATTGCATCAACAGATACTATTGGATCAGAGATATTCGATGACAATGGAATAATAATTTTGTTGGATAATTCAGGTACTTTTTCTTTTAGGATTTTAGCAGTGTAGTCCAAATTTATAAATCCATTGTTTGTGGCAAGGAATCTTTCACCTTTAGCTTCTTTTTTAATCATTGCCAAATAATGAATATCGGCAACATCTCTTACATCAACAACACCAAAGCCAAATTGGGGGTATCCATCTGGGAAAGCATTTTCAATAATAGATTTAATAAATACGATTGATGTTGACAAATCATTACCAAGTACCGGTCCAAAAACTCCAACCGGGTTAATAACAGTCAATTCCAATTTACTATTATCACCACATTCTTTTTCGATAAAGTTCCACGCTGCTTTCTCTGCCAAGGTTTTGGATTTAATATAGGGAGTTGTTGTTGCGTCTATTATAGTCCAATCATTTTCATTGAATGGTCTATCTAATTCTTTACCATAACCTATTGCTGCAAAAGACGAAGTCAATACTACACGTTTAACATTGGTATCATCACGAGCTGCTTTTAATACACGAAGAGTTCCATCTACTGCTGGTCTAATAGCTTCGTCTTCATTCTCTGGTTGTACTGCTGGGAATGGTGATGCAACATGTAAAATATATTTACAACCTTTAACAGCATCACCCCAACCATTATCAGATAAAAGATCAGCCTCTACAAATTCAATCTCATCATCTCCTACAGCCAATCCTGAATTTCTAATTAATCTAATAATTTCATCTTTACGCGATAGCTTTCTTACAGTGGTTCTAACTTTATATCCCTCTCTTAATAATTTAATAATACAAAATAATGCTCTATAATAATAATAATAATAATAATAATTAGCAAAAGAAAAGATATTGTAATTTTTATATGGAATCTTACACATAGCCACTACCACCAGTAACCAATACAGTTTCATTTTTAACTGTTACCATTTTTTTTTTCAATTATATTTTTAATAAATAAATAGATAATAAATAATTAAATAGATAGTTATGCTTTATTAGAGATAAAATTTTTATTAGATTTTAAATTTTAATTTATAGAAAAAAAAATGCAACATTTAATTTGTTGAAAAAATAAACTTTTTTTTTGTGACATCAAAATATTATTTAATAATATGTTTATATTAATTTTTGGTTCCATAGAATTTTATCAAAAAGTTCTATTTGGTTAAAAAGTCTGCATCTGTCAAATAGTTCTTCCATCAAAAACACCAATAAATTATTTTTTTTTTAAAAAATTTAATTTTTTATTCCTTGAATTTTATTTTTTTATATTTTTTTATCTAATCTATAAAATTATAATTTATATAGGAAAAAAAAATTAAATGATTGAGCTTTTTAAAAGTTAAATTTAAATACAAACAATACCTGTCCAATTTATTTTTTTTTTTTTTTTTTTTTGGTTTTTATTAAAAAATAAAAAAATTTTATTAAGAAAAAATAATTTATTTAATTGGTTACTTTTATTTTATTTATTGTTTAATATATCCTGCACCTTCTTCTCTATCAAATTCATTTTCTTTTTCAAATTCATAATCTTTTTTATATTGATTATTATTTATGATATTATTGTAGTTTAAGCTTTGATTTATAGTAGCACTCTTTTTAAAGAAACGGATATATATTATAAGACCCAAAATACTTAATAGTATAGCTGATATTATTGGTACTACTATTATGGTAATCAAAACAGCCTTGTTTGCACATTTGTTCGATGGGGCAATATATGTTAAATAAATACTATTGATGGGTGGGTGGGCTTGGGAAAATGATTTAATTCCAGAATAGAGGAAAATTTCTTTAGTTTGACAGTTTACGGATTCACCCAAATGGCATGATACAATTACATTATTGCTAAGGTTGCTTTCTGATTCTTTATAAAATGAAAATATTTGTGGATCATTGGTTTTGACAATATTATATTGGTGGGTGATGTTTGTTAATATCATTTCTGTGTTTGATGAGTTTGAAATTAAATTATATGATTGTAAAATTTGACTGCTGCCATTATTATTTACTCCATATAGTATTAAAAACTTTCTATAGTTACCAAATATAATAGAATTGAATTGAATTTCGTTGGTATCAATAGTGTAGATTTCCAAAACATATTCTCTAAATTGTACTACAACGGTATCATTATCTTTATTTTGGACTAGTGCGATATATACATTATTAACTTTATCATGGCAAAATTTAAAGTTTTTAATCTGATTTGGATCTATAACAACATTACTTGAATATGTAATTTGTGGATACTGTTTTAAATAAATTACATCACTGAAATTTGTTTTTTGATTTAATGTGTGTATAGATATTGATAAATAATTATTGTTATTTAGTTCTCTATATGACATGGAATAGATCTCTATAGATCCATCATGAAGGGCCATAGAGTGGTGGAATCTCCAATTTGCATCATCTACTATTAAAATATTTTTTAAACTTTGCTTTTTATTATTATTAATAAAAGAGTTATTTAAATGCTCTGTTCCAATGAAAAATACCTTTCAAAAATTAAAAATTAGTTTAATACATTTTTTATTTTTTATATTGATTGTAAAGAAAACTACTTACAGTATCATTGGAAAAAGAACCCAAAATATTTGAATCTTTTAAAGGAATAAACGAATTTAATAATTTGGCTTTTTGATTATAATAATTTGAATACAGTTTATTTTCATTATCTAAAAATAAAATGGTATTTGATTGTTGATAGTTGGTATCTTCAATGAAATTTTGATCTACAATTTTATCATTACAAAAAGCATAGTGAATAAAATAAAAAACAATTAAAATTAAATTACTACAATACATGTTTTTATTTTTTTATATTTTTTTAGTTTTTATTTTACTATATAAATACATATATATATACATATATTTAAAATGAAAAATTAATAATATATATACAAATAAAAGTAAATAAATAATTTAATAAAATTTTAAAAAATAAAATAAAATAATTTTTTTGGTGGGGGAAAACAGTTTATATGTAAATAATAGAAAATCCCTGCACGTTCCCACACCCCACAAATTAAAAAAGTTACTTGTTTTATATAGAATTTAATTTTATTTTATTGAATTTAATTTAATTTAATTTAAAGTAAATTAAAACTAACCAAGCTTTTGGCTGAATCCAATATTGATTCGGCTGCTGGCCTTGGATTCCATCCCAATAATTTTTTAGCCTTTTCGTTGGATGCACTTTTAGTAAGGATAATTTGATCTGGATGAATTGGTGGTGGTGTGATGTTATGAGAAATTTCTGGGATATTTTCTTTAATAATATTTGCAATGTGGGACATGGTTGTATATTTATCGCTTGAAATAGTTAGGAATCTATTACCTTTGGCTTCTTCGGTGATCATTGCTAAATAATGAATATCTGCTACATCTCTTACATCAACGACACCAAATGAAATGGGTGGATATGTTTGGATGCCTTTAATAACATTTTTAACAATATCTATTGATGCTGATAACTCTGTACTTAATAATGGACCAAAAACAGCAGTTGGATTAACTACAACTAATTCTAATTTACCACTACTTTCTTTTTCAATGAAATCCCAAGCAGATTTTTCGGCAATTACTTTAGATTTTACATAAGCAGAACAAGTTTCGTCAATAATGGTCCAATCTTCTTCGGTGAGGGGTCGACCTAAATTTTCACTTGCTTTACCATAACCAATAGCAGCATTTGATGAAGTTAATACTACACGTTTAACATTAGTATCATCACGAGCTGCTTTTAATACACGAATAGTACCATCTACTGCTGGTCTAATAACTTCTTCCTCATCATCTTGATTTGGTTTTGGTGGAAATGGAGGAACCGGGGAAGCAACATGTAAAATATATTTACAACCTTTAACAGCATCACTCCAACCATTATCAGATGAAAGATCAGCTTCTACAAATTCAATTTCAGCATCACCTACAGCCAATCCTGAGTTTCTAACTGCTTTTAATACTTGATCTTTACGAGATAATTTTCTTACAGTGGTTCTAACTCTATATCCTTCTCTAAGCAATTTAACAATACAAAATAAAGCACTAATAATAATAATAAAAAAAATTAGTAACAAAATAAAATGGTGTTTTTTAAATATTTAAACCTAATTCTTACATATAGCCACTACCGCCAGTAACCAATACAGTTTCACTCATCTTTGTTTCTTTTTATCTGTTATCTGTAATATTATTAGTGTTATTAAAATTGATAATAAATTAAAAAAATATCCTTTTTATACCTACAATTGATTTATTTTATAATATAATTATTACTTAATACCCATTCTATAGAATATAAAATTTATATATCCAGACTTTAATACCAAACCAATATGTTCCATTACCAACAAATTATTAAATAATAAATTTTTTTTTTTTTTTAAATTTTTTTTTTTTTTCAGTTCAACGAATTTAATAAAAAATAAAAAATAAAAAATCAATAAAAATTGATGGACTAAAAAAATAAATATTTATTAAATTAAATTAAAATCAGCTAAGCTTTTAGCGGTTGATAATAATGTCTCGTTTGTTGGTCTTGGATTCCAACCTAATATTCTTTTGGCTTTTTCATTTGAGATTTGTCTGTGTTTATATTGATCTGGATGATTACCTGGTGGAGTTATAGTTTTTGATAATTCTGGTAGTTTTTCTATAAAAAGTCTTGCTATATATTCTCTTGAAACGTTGCTATCGCTAGAGATAGAGATGAATCTATTACCTTTGGCTTCTTCGGTGATCATTGCTAAATAATGAATATCTGCTACATCTCTTACATCAACGACACCTGTTGAAACTTGTGCATATGATTGTACACCTTTAATAATACTTGAAATAATATCTATTGATGTTGATACATCGGTGTTGAGTAATGGCCCAAATATATAGGTTGGGTTAATAGTGACCAATTCTAATTTATTGTCACATTCCTTTTCAATAAAGTTCCATGCTGCTTTTTCTGCTAATGTTTTAGATTTGCCATAAGCAGAACAAGTTTCGTCAATGAAGGTCCAATCTTCTTCGGTGAATGGTCTACCCAAATTCTCGTTGGGTTTACCGAAAGCTACTGCTGCAGTTGATGATGTTAATACTACACGTTTAACATTAGTATCGTCACGAGCTGCTTTTAATACACGAAGAGTTCCATCTACTGCAGGTCTAATAAGGTCTTCCTCATTCTCTGGTTGTACTGGTGGGAATGGTGATGCTACATGTAAAATATATTTACAACCTTTAACAGCATCACTCCAACCATTATCAGACAAAAGATCAGCTTCTACAAATTCAATCTCATCATCACTTACTGACAATCCTGAATATTTAATCGATGTTAATACATCTTCTTTACGCGATAATTTTCTTACTGTAGTTCTAACTTTATATCCCTCTTTTAGCAATTTGACAATACAAAATAATGCTCTATATAGTTTTAATAAAATTTAAAACAAATAAATTAGTGTTCTATTATAATATATAAGATTAAACTATAACCAATATGATCTTACAAATATCCACTTCCACCAGTTACTAATACAGTTTCAGAGTTACTTTTATTGCTACCTGTTGTCATTGTTATAGTTGTGGTTATAATAATTAATTATCTGTTTGTTATTTAAAATTTTTTAATTTTTTTATTTAAAAAAAAATTTTATTTATGCATTTTTTTTTTTTTTGATTTTTTTTATTTTATTTTTTTATTTTTTTTAATTATATTTTAAAGGAAACATTAAATAAAAATCTAATGATTTCAGAAACTAATAGAACTGCCAGTGATTCGAGATATTTTTCCATAATGCTTCAGAATGATTTATTTTTTTTTTTTTAAAAATTTTAAAAAAAAAAAAAAAATTTTAAAAATATCCCAAATCATTCTGAAGCATGATGGAAAAATTAAAAATTAAAAAAAAAAAAAAAATAAATAAATAAATAAAAGTGTGATTGTTTGTATTTAAAAAAGTATACCTTTATTAATTTTTATTTTTTTATTTATTTTGAACTATATTAAAATCAACTAAACTTTTAACAGTTGATGCTATTGATTCAGTCGATGGTCTTGGATTCCACCCAAACATTCTTTTAGCCCTCTCATTGGATCCACTTTTAAAATTGATTTGATCTATATCATTAGGTGGTGGTGTGATATTTTGAGAGATTTCTGGCATATTTTCTTTAATAAATTTTGCAAGATGTCCCAATGTCGTATATTTATCGTTTGAAACTATGAGGAATCTATTACCTTTGGCCTCTTCAGTGATCATTGCTAAATAATGAATATCTGCTACATCTCTTACATCAACGACACCAAATGAAAAAGTTGGATATGTTGGCATACCTTTAATAATATTTTTGATCATAACCACGGATGCTGATATATTCGAATTGAGTAATGGGCCGAAAATAGCAGTTGGGTTTATTACTACAAGCTCTAATTTACTATTACCACATTCCTTTCCCATGAAATTCCATGCTGCTTTTTCTGCTAATGTTTTAGATTTAACATAAGCAGAGCAAGTTTCATCTAATATGGTCCAATCATCTTCGGTGAGGGGTCGACCTAAATTTTCACTTGCTTTACCATAACCAATAGCAGCATTTGATGAAGTTAATACAACACGTTTAACATTCGTATCATCACGAGCTGCTTTTAATACACGAAGAGCACCGTCTACCGCTGGTTTAATAACTTCGTCTTCATTCTTTGGCTGTACTTCTGGGAATGGTGATGCTACATGTAAAATATATTTACAACCTTTAACAGCATCACCCCAACCATTATCAGATGAAAGATCAGCCTCTACAAATTCAATTTCATCATCACCCACCGACAATCCTGAATTTCTAATAGATGCTAACACATCCTCTTTACGTGATAATTTTCTTACTGTAGTTCTAACCCTATATCCCTCTTTTAATAATTTAATTATACAAAATAATGCTCTAATAATAAAAAAATATATTAGCTATTTTAAATTTTTTAAATAGTTTAAAAAAGAAATTTAAACCTTACACGTGTCCACTTCCACCTGTTACTAATACAGTTTGATCCATATCGTGTTGATCTTAATATAAAAATTTAAAAAATAAATTTGTAATTTAATTTTAAAAAATAAAAAAAATTAAAAAAAAAAATAAAAAAAAATTACAAATTAGGTAAGTGCAAAATTAAATTTTATTTATGTACAAAGTTTTAAAAAAAAGAAAAATGAATTTATTTTTATTTCTAGATAATTTACAAATAAATTAATATTAAAATTAATTTATATTATTTTTTTTTTTTTTAATTTTTTTTTTTTTTTCTTTTTTTTTTTTTTTTGATTAATAATTAGTTTTTTTAAGAATAATTATTTGTATAAATGATTAATTTTTTAAATAAGTACTATATAAAAAAAATTAAATAAAATATTATAATTTCTACATTTAAAATTAAAGTTCTATTCTTGATTGTCTTCTAGATTGGGATCTTGAAGTAGAACCTCCTTGGGATTGCATATTTGGACTGGTTACTCTTGATGGTGGTCTTGAACTAACAACAGTTTCAGGTGCAGCATCCATAGAGAAACCAGAAAAAGTATTTGATATAAATTTAGAGAAGAAACCAGATTTATGATGTTCTTCGACTTCATCAGAACCATCGGAAATTGGAGTTAATGATTCAATACCTTCACCACCTTCCTCTGGAATCATACGTGGGGTTTGTCTTGGAGTTTGTCTTGGAGTTTGTCTTGGAGTCATACGAGGAGTATTTTTAACACTAGATGAAGGTGTTGATTTACTACTCTTACCATCCTTTAAAGACATTGATGATGAAGTTGATTGTAAATATTGTTTGCTTGATTTCTTTGAAACTGAATCTTTACCTGATGGAGTTGGTGGTGCTTGTGTGGTTGATGTAGTATTTGAACCACTTTGTAAATTGAGAGCTGTTGGTGAATTTGGTGCAGAAGCATAATCTAGACTACCACCATGCTTCATATCATCATTTTCCTTATCATCTACATTTCTATCAATTGATGATAATGATCTTAATCTGCTTAAAATTGGTACTTTCATTTTCTTTTATATTATTTTATAGAATGTATTAAGTATAAAACTATTAATTATTTATATATTTAAATATTATTGATTATTCGATTCAATAATTTGGTTATTGGTAAAGTTTGAATTGTAAAAAAAAAAATGATTTATTTTTTTTTTTTATTTATTTTTTTTTTTTAAAATGAAAATTATTTAAATAATAATTTAAATTTTATTTTATTTAATCAATTTATATATTATAAACTATTGATTGTGTGAGCGAGTATTTAACACTAGAGATGGGGGTAGGTGATTATTTGTTTTATTTATTAATTAAAAAATCAAAGTTGGAAGTTTTTTTTTTATAAAAATATTGTTATTATATTTTTTAAAATAAAAAAAAATAAAACAAGATTTAGATTAAGTTTTATTTGAAATTTTTTATTTTAAAAAATCAAATTGATTGAAAATTATTAATGATATTGTTTTGTTTTGAATGTATGTTGTGTGTGTGTGTGTGCTTGTTTGTGTTAGAATATGTGTTTTGAAAAAAGTGTGAGTGATGTGGTTTTTTTAAAAAAGTATATAAAAAAAAAAAAAATTTTTAAATCTAAATGTTTTTATGAATAAAAATTTTAAAAAAATAAAATAATTAAATAAAACCAATAAGTAACAAATAATATATAAATTTCTTTTGCTTTTTTTGAAATAATGATATTGTTAATAATTTCAAAAAAAATTTGAACTTTAAATTTAAAAAAAAAAATAAAAAAAAAAAAAAAAGATAATTAAAAAAAATAATAATTTAATAAATAACAAAAAATGGTAATAGTTGTAATTTATCTCAATTTATTACAAAAAAAAAAAAAAAAAGTAATATTACACCTTTTTTTTTTATTTTAGATCTCGTTTTGTGATTAAATTAAAAAAAAAAAATAAAAAAAAAAGTGGGTTGATTTTTTTTTTTAAAAATTTTAATATTTATTTTTATCTTTTTTTACCATCATAACATTTCTTTTATCTCAACTTTTTGTGTATGTAGGTTTTATTTTTTTTTGATTGTAATATCTATCTTATTTTCTTTTGTTTTTTTTTGTCATAATAAAATGCAAAAAAATATGGAAAAAAAGTGTGGTAGTTTTAAAATATAATAATAAAATAATGATAAACTAAAACACAAAATTATTAATGTTATGATGTATTGATGAGGGGGTTATAATCAAATAATATTCAAAATCTTATAAATTAAAATTAAATGTAGGTGGAGTGTGGGTAAAATGTGTTTGTGTGTGTGAATGAATTTTGTGTTGTGTGTGATGAAATAGTTTTTTTTTCTTCGATTTAAAAAACTCAAAGAGATATTTATTAATAAACTGTGTAAGAGAAATATATCGAAGTATATTGGTTATTTATAAACACAAAAATAAGAGTTAATTATATCATCAAACTATTTATTTAATGTGTGTTTTTGTGTGTGGGCTTGGGGGTGAATGGAATATGAACGATGCATTTATTTTTAATTTTGAGAGAAAGTGATGTGTTTTTTGTTTTTATTTTTTTTTTTTTTTTTGTGTGTGTGTGAATAATGGATGTCTGTGTCTGTGTGTGTGTTAATTTAATATATTTATAGGTCCAATAGGGTTTTGTTTCTATTATTTTTTTTTTATTAATTTTTGTCAAGGTGGCAAATTTCTTGTCATGATTTTAAACCAAACGAGATATCAATAATAATCATTATTAATAAATTTATAAATATAAGATTTTATTTTTTTTTTTACCTTTTAAATTTTTTACTGCATTAAAAAACTTACCAATAATAACATGTTTTAAAGATTATTATAGAAACTATTTGGTTGCAATCTCTGTTTAATATTATAAATCATTTTTTAATTTTTAATTTTTTTTTTTCATAAAAAAATTTTTAATTAAACCACCAATACATCGAGATTTTTTTATTATTTGTAAAAAGTTTTATTTTTTTGCTCTTTTAATTTTTGAATATATTTGTATAATAATAATACCATTAATGTTAAATGTTAACATGATTTTTTTTTTTTTTTTTTTTTTTTAATTTAAAATATTAAATTAAATTATCAATAGTTTATTTAGTTTTTTTTTGTTTTTTTAACAGGTTGATTTTTCTTTTCTTTAATTTCTTCATCATCAGAGTAGTCGTTAGAAACCTTTTCTTGTTTGAGATTCTTTTGTTCTTGTTGTTTTGCTTTTGTCTCTTGTGATTTAAGCTCTTTAATTAATATAGTTTTAAAATATTCTAAAGAAAATATATTATCATCGCATCTAATTATAATAATTTAATTTTGAAAAAAAAATTAGTATTAATTTATATTTATGAGATTAAAATTTTTTTCGAATTAAAAATATTTATGATATTTTGATTATGATATTTAATATTATTTTATATTATTCATATTATTGATATTATTGAATTATGATAATGATTATGATGGAGTGGGTTAATTTTGATTTTTTTAGAATGTTTTATAAAAACTATTTTCTAAAAAATTAACGAGTGGGTTGATTTTTTTTTTTTGAAAATAATTATTTTTAAAACTAAAAAAAAATGAAAAAAATAATAATAGTTATAAAAATAATTATATATGTAAATACTTACACTTTAGATAAATCATTATAAGTTTGTGTAATTGTTTTTTGAAGATTTCTTAATGATGAAATCATTGATAAGGAATTTGATTTTATATATTTTCCATGATAAATTGAAATTAATTTAACCCATTTCATTTGATATTCAAGATGTTGATTCTTTTCGAAATAAGCGCTAAGGAATTGAATAAAGTTCTTTAAATAATATATTGGGAATTCTTGACAAACCAATTGAACCTCTTCAAATGGGATAGATTCGAAAACTTGTTCAATAATTTCTTTTTCGTTTAATTTAATACTCATCTAAATAAAAATTATAAAATTTGTTAATAATTTTTTTTTAAATATTAAATGTATGTATGAATATTAAAACACTTACAACTAATGATTTTAAATAATTTTTCTTTTTTAATTCTAATAAAATATTTTCTGGATTAATATCAATTGAAAGATCGGTTGGGTCAAAGAATAAGAAATCGTCTAAAGAATAAATTAAAAGACCTTCGGTGGTGGAACAAGCCCAAGCACGACCAGTTGGAGAGATAGAAATGGAGGTAGTTCTTTGTTTCTTTTTTGTAGTTCTTTCTGAAAGATCACCTTTTGAAGTACCTGGTAAAAATTCTTTATTTTTTTCAGAGAGGTCATCGTCTGAATCGAAATCTTTATCAAATGTATCAATATGGCCAAATTCACCAACCTTACGCCAATCAATATCTAAAGAAATACCGTCCAATGACAAATTTTGTGAAGTTGAATATTTCTTGACTAAAACTTGTTGATCGACATGATAGATACAAATATATTTACTGTCACCACCAGCAATAAGACATTCACCATTTGGTGTGAATGCAATTTTAGTGAATGCTTTACCCATAGTTGAAGTTTTTGCAAGACGTTCATCTTTATAACCACGACCACCCATAATATCTGTCTTACCATCGATCAAACCAATTTGTGACCAAGTTGAAGTTTCATAAATTTGAATAGTGCCATCAAGACATGATGCAACAAACTTCTTACCATCTGAACTATAAGAACAAGCTAAAACATCAGAGGTGTGTTGAATATTTTCACGGACTTCACGATCTTCGAAAATGTTCCATACCTTGACGGATTTATCCCATGATGCTGAAGCTAAATATGGATTAATTGGGTCGAATGAAAGGTCGCAAACTGGTGATTCATGACCACTAAGGATATCTGTAAGACGACCAGTACGTACTGACCAAACATAGATTTCAAAAGTATCGATTGAACTTGCTGCAATAATCTCACCACTTGGATCAATAGCCAAAGTTGAAAATTGAGTTTTATTTGGACTAACAAATGTTCTGAAATTTCTGTATCTAATTAAATCGAATGCACGAATGGTACCATCTACACCTGCTGAGAATACAACATTTTGACTTGCAATTGGTGAATATTTAACTGATGTAACTGGACCTTCATGATCAGAGAATGTAATAAAACAATAACCGCTTGTAGTATTCCAAATTTTAACTTTTCCATCTTCACCACCAGTTGCAATAGTTTGACCATCTGGGGAGTATGCAACACAATTCATATTGTAACTGTGACCTTGTTGTTTTAAAATATATGTTTCTGAACGCCATTCCCATACTAATAATTGACCCATATCAGAACAACCGAATGCTAACCACTCACCAGTATTATTGATGGCAGCAGTATTGATACTGTGACTTGATACATTTAATTTGTAGAGCTCTGTGAATTCTGGCATTTCATAGAGAATAAATTGACCTGTAGAGAAACCAACCAAAAGTAATTTACTCTTTACATGGAATACTGCTGTTTTAACTTTACATTTAACACCATAATTTTCAAATTTCTTAAAACTACCTAATACCCAACGTCCATTTGATAATTTTTTATTTTCAGTTGTAACTTTAATTTGTTCCTCTTGTTGCTCTTCTTCTTCTGGTTGCTCTTGTTCTTTTCTTTCTTGTTCCTCTTGCTCTAAATCTTCCTTTGATTTGTAATTCCATGTAACTAAACCTGTTGGTGTGACTGCGTTAACAATAGTTGCCTCTGCATTTCCAAAGAAACAATTTATAATACCTGATCCTTTAACTTGAAAAAATGATGGTTTATCTGATTTACCTTCTCTAATTAAAATTGCACCATTTTTACAACCTACAATTAATTTTAATGAATCATTTGACCAATTCATAGCAACAACTGGTGATCTATGTTGGAATACTGATAAACGTACTAATGGATTTGGTTGTTTTTGAACAACTGGAGTTTTAAATAAAAATACTCTTTCTAAAACTGATACCGCAATAATACTATTTTTTTAATGTTAAAAAAATTAATATAAATTAAATATTATATAATATTATTAAACTCTATATTTATACTTACGCTCCATTTGGACTAAATGAAAATACTTTTGGTGTTTTAAAAAATTTATATTCACCTAAAACAACCTGTCTTTGAAGATTTATTATTAATGTATGACCAGCTAAAAATAAAAATAAAAATAAAAAACATTGTTAATGAATACTGTTGCCATATTTTTAATCAATTATTGTAAGTACTTACATTCATCAGCTGAAATTAAAATTTGGCCATTTGGTGATAATGCAATTTTACGAATATTAAATCTTGATTGAATTGGTAATGTAACTGAGGTATGATTAACTAAATCGAAAACTGTTAATCTATTACCAACTGGACTGATTACTGAATTACCATCTGGTGTAAATAAAATATTTCCTTTACTATAAACAGTTCCTAATAAATTTGAAAATTTATATCCGAATTTCATCTTTAAATAAACAAA